GAAAGGGTGTCACAGTTTTGATAAACTGTGAAAGCTTTGTCTTTTCAGTCGGTTTTTAGTTAGGTTATTTGCTATTCTGTGTATGGGATTGTTGTTCATGCGTTTAAATTTTTATGTTCGAAGGCTCGAGCTCTGGAGGCCAGAAGTTGCCTCCAGCTCATGGATTGGTGTGCTTCTCATACTTCCATACCGTTTCGTGTATGTGTGTGTGTGTGTGTCAGACTATACTCATTTATGCCTAGAATGGTGAACATTATTTTAATTGCATTAAAAAAAAAAACATACATATACAAAATACACACTCTTTGTGACTATCATGTTAATACCACGATGGTTCGGCTCCAACTTAATGCCAGCGGAACATAAATGATACAATTACCGAAGTGGATTGGTGAGAACAGGATTTCATGGCCCGTGTTTCATGGAGAAAGGAATCAAAAGGGAATATACATACAAGATACAATTATTGCAGAAATGTAAACAGCTATATGCTTGAGAAAATGTCTCTTAAATACGAATACTTATGATGGCAACAGTAGGCCTGCAAATCCAAGCTCTAATTGGGGAAGGCATTTCTTAAAGCTAGCACATTTTGTAGACACCGTAGCACACAGTTTGTAAAAGTAAAGACTATTCTTGTCCTACCCGCTTCTAGTAAGTTTTATTATGCCCAAGATGTTGAGTATCCTTGTCCTCACTATGGAATTCCCAAACTGCTGACCGATTGCACCACTCAGTCTTACATTTTAAAATAATGGATTAGGTTGAAAAGTCACCTCGTAATATCCTATGGAACCTATGTAAAGCGAGTAGGATAATGCTGTATTTAATATGGTACCTTAGTTCAAATACAGCATTTTTTATTTTCTCTAGCCGGTACGATTTTTAATAACTAGGTGACTCAACTGCATAACATTGCATCTACTGACAAACATTCTGTGGTTCTAGATCACTGTTGCAACGAGCCGCCACCAGGAAATCACTGGGGGGAAGATTAAGGGGCGCTTTAGCCCTCTTACAATTTTCCCTAGCGAACCTAAGGGGGATAAGCATCGTTTAAGTGAGCTGTAATAATAGTGTGCTAAATGGCGAAACAAAAATTAATTTGAAATAATACGAAAAGTATAAGCAGTAAAAGAGAACGTCTATGCATAGTTATGCCGACCACTTAGTCCGCCTGTAAATTTTCTAGGAGGTTGGGAAGGTGAGGGGGGGGGGAGGAGGTGAGGGGTAATCAAGGTGCCAGGGCCTCCAGGTTACTGAGCCTTCGGGTCACTAAGGTCTTGCTAGCCGCGCTCACTAAAGTCATCGCCTATGCTAGCTTTAACACCTTAATGCACTACCCTCTGTCTGAAAAAGAGGAAATGTGTCAACAATCACAGTGATATTTTTCTCAACATTTAACTCTATGTTATCTGGGAATCATCATTCATATCACTGACTTACCACAAGCCACAACGCGTGATTCTAAAGGCTGTGCATTGTCACTTTAAAACACGATTTATTACTAATATATGACATAATAATTGTATTGAAGAAGCACACACACACACACACACAGAGACAGACAGACACACACACCCACCCATATATGAATATAAGGTTCACAGGTAAGCATTTTTTAAGGCAAAAATAATAGTAACAGTGTGTTATTGTTATCGTTTATACTTACAAGTTGGAATTCCAGTGCAGCCGTTCGGATACGTGAAACTGGGAGTGGATTAGTGATGATAAATATTTATGCTATTTTGATCACTTATAACTTGTCATGTCAAAAGTCGGGCTGTACCGAATATTCGCTTCGTATTCGCTTCGGGGACGAATAGTGGACCTAATAACTATTCGCTATTCGGCCGAATAGTTGCGGTCGGGCCGAATACGAATAGTGATTACCTTAAACCAGTTTCTGGACTGGTGGAAAATAAAGATATCAAGATTTCCCACCCTGGTTCATACTGTCAAGCGTTATCTTTGTGATATCTTTGTGTGTTACCTACGAGCGTACCAAGTGAACGTCTGTTTAGTGCAGCTGGAAAAACCTTCAGTGAGACAAGAAGCTGCCTTAATGCTGACAACATAAAACGATTTTTTTTTTTTTTTGGAAAGCTAATGCCGCTTTCATAGATTAACTAAGCTGTCAGTGACAATTTACAAGTTTAGTTACTTGTTATAAAACTAAGAATACTTTCATTCCTAGGTATTAGTTACCACAGACTAACTGACTAAAGAATGCAAAACATGAAATGTTTTTAAATGTTTACTTTTCTGTACTACATTTTGTGAAGGACATTTATTTTGGCGTACATTTGACATGATGGATGTTTTTTTTTTTTTAGATCTATTTTATACACGAAAGTGGAAGAATGGACTTGGCCTCAGTTTGAATAGTGGGAAGACAGAAGTAATGGTGGTATCAAAGAAAATTATTATTCCTAAATGTGTAATAAAAGTCGATGGTAATACTTTGGGACAAGTACAGAAATTTAAGTAACTGGGCACATGGATAACATCAGATGGAAGATGCATTACTGAAATAAGAAATAGAATAGGACAGGCAAAAACTGCATTTTATAAAAGGAAGAATATCTTATGCAATATATCTTTGTCATTGAAAGTTAGACAAAGAATTCTTGCTTGCTACATACATCAAGTTTTTACATATGGCTGTATATCCTGGACAATCGGTAGACAGGCCAAACAATTTCTTGAGGCCTCAGAGATGTGGTTTTACAGAAAAATGATTAAAATACCTTGGACAGCAACAACAACAAAAGCAACCAAAACGTTTTGAAAGAGGCGGGAGCCCGAAGACATCAGAATGAGACAGTCATCATTTTTCGGCCATGTTATAAGATGAGGGAAAATGGAACATGTGGTGACCACTGGAAAGATATGTGGAAGGAGGGATAGAGGAAGACACGAGAGAACATTCTTGACAGTCTTGTTGCGTGGTATGGAGGGGTGTCAGCACACAAACTAATACATGCTGCAGAAGATCGTAGATTGTGGCAAGGCATAATCGCCCATGCCAGTCGGCGAGGCACCTAATGATGATGATTCACTATTCGTATTCGTATTTGGCCGAATAGTTGGTCCAGCTATTCGTGTTCAGCCGAACAGTGAAAATCACTATTCGGTACAGCCCTAGTCAAAAGGCAACATTATTCTCAAATAAGTATTTCATACCAAGAAACTGGAACAGGTTGTTGCTTTTTTTTTTTTTTAAATAATCCGATTATGACCCACATATGATAGTTGTTATAGTGTGTGTGAACGTATGTGAGCGCGTGTGTGTTTGTGTGTGTGTGTGTGAGCGTGTGTGAGCACGTGTGTGTATGTGTGTTTGGTGTGTGTGTGTGTCGGATGGCGAGGTGAATAATGTGTTAGTTTTTCTTTGATGTCTGCATTCATGTTGCCGATATTCGACTATTTCGATGCGAACTTGCTAAAATTAGTGATGACCACCAAAAGCTATTCCTTTTTAGGAATAGGGGATCTCACTAGAGAAAGCTGATAGATTAGAGCAGTGATGGGGTGAAACGACTAGCGGTATTTACTTTCTTAGAACTTTTTTATAAACCCATTTTAGAGTAGGTCATCCCAGGAACCGGTCATATATAACAAACTGCTTTGATGCGGATTAGACTTGAAGACCTCAAGACAGACAGGCGCGCCTCTATCCTCAGTGATCTAGCGAGTTCCCTAGATGTAAACAGTAAACTTAAAGAACAATTAATTGAATAGGAATCGATAAAGCTATCTTTAGGAAGCTCCGTAAATTATTGGCAGCTAGAGTGTAACATTAATAATGATAATCACCAAATTTGTGTATATTCAACCCTGCTCTATGGCGCAGAAACCTGGACAATGAACAAGCAAGCAGAAAATCGAAATGAGTCTCTGGAAATGTGGATATACAGAAGAGAAAGTCGTACTTAATGGAAACCTAAACAATCTAATACAGATTATGGAGAACTTGCGAATGAAAGGAGCTACTGAATGAAATAAAACAAAAGAGACAATTGAAATATTTCGACAACATTAAAAGACAAGACGCTTTTTGGAAAAGCATACTGGAGGGACAAGTCGAAGGCAAGGAAAGCAAGAGAGCAAGAAATCCGTAACAATACAAATGGGATGTCAACATCAGGAGACAGATGATAGATAGCAGCCTGAGAGAGTACAACCAAGACCAGATAAAAGCATGATGGAGATCCATTGCATTCAGCCTTCATTGTGTAGACGGCACGGGGCAGACGTAGACTTAAAGTGAAGGACCCTCTACACCTAAGGTGCACGGGGCGCGAAGTGCTAGACCTATATTTTCTTATAGACCACTCGACTAGTGATGTGACTAGCATCTCGCATGCCGCCTTTACTTCCCAAAAGGTTAGATGATATTTAAAAAAAAAGTAAAGTTGTGAACCAGCGTCATTGCACACGGTTATAAACCATACGTGCTCTGCCACCAGTACGGACAGCTGATAAGAATAGTCAGCCTGTGTCGCCGTTCTCACGTAACTCTGTAGCTACAGCGACGTTCCTCTATTTACCCCAGCGCCAGGGTGAACCCCGGGAACCTCCCGGTTTCGAACACCGACAGTGGCTGCAGCGAGTCGCAGCTGTAGGAGATATTTATTTCACAACGGATAAATCCAGGAGCCAAAGTCAAGTTAAAACGCCCACCTCAAGGATGCCTTGAACTCCAGACCTTGCAGTCATTGGGCATTAAATATAACCAATGTTACCACCTCCATCAATCGGCCAGTCCGTCTGCCTGTCTGATTATCTATCTATATGTGTTGAACACACACACACACACACATATATATACATCTATTTATATTTATATATATATATATATATATGTGTGTGTGTGTGTGTGTGTGTGTGTGTGTATTAGTGTGTGTTTGAAGTCTGCTGTCAAAATGCATCAAGCTGAATCAAAACGGTGAAGTCATAAATACTAAAAATGTAGCTAAAAACAATACAATTCAAACCTACTTGACGCAGACGTCTTTGTCTGTTTGATTCAAAATGTTGTAAATAGTTGTTAAAAGCGGGAACTGTCCCTCCTTACAGAAATCACCAGTAAAGTCATCAAAGTCTAGCGTCCACAAACTGACACCTCCAAAACCTTGACACACCGAGTAGCAAGCCTGAGTATAAAGGCAGTTTACTGTTAAACATTCATTATCACGTGATGAATCTATTTATTAAATCCATTTTTTTTAAATTAAGTAAGTGGACATTTTAAAGAGAATTTACTTATCCCTTGGTGGTAAAAAAATGTATGACAAGCTATATGTTATCAGGGTCCTTAGTGAGCGAGTGAACAGTGATCATTATAGTCTGAGGAGAATGGCGCTGCGAGGAGTTACCAGGAGATCTGGCCGAAGCTCAACACTAAAGGAAAAGGCGAGACCTATATACCATCAGACAGTTACTGGCGTCATCGGAACTGGAACTCTTCACTTACTGCTGAAGATGGGGCTGAGCGCTTATGAGAGTGGCCACAGTGCTGTGATGTCGATTATTAATTTAACATTTAACTCATCAAGAAAGGGAATGCATAAATTAAAATTTTAAAATAGCTTTATCAAGAAAATAACCTAGTAAACAAGTAAGCTCACCGATTTGTCATTTATGTGTATTTTGTATCAAGATAGCAAAATCTTGTAAATACGAAGCGAGTTTTCGACATAACAGATCAACAATAGATCAGAAATTCATGTTACTGCAAACAGTAGATCACAATTTGGAATATAGAAGGGATGTACATACAGATTTTGGGAGATTTTAAAAAGTCAAATGAAATTGTGCATATAAACAGTTTATGGAAGGCTATGGAGGACTTTGAAATATAGAAGAAGTTAACTGCCATGGCAAAACTATATATTGAAGACACTTATAGTAACATAGAGA